TGTTCATAATTCTTTTTCTAGTCGCATTATGAGTCGGGCTTTGTCCCCTTTTGTTTTAGTTCATTTAGATGTTTGGGGTCGTCCAAGTCGTATTTCCTCTTAATTAGGGTCTAGGTATTTTGTCACTTTTATAGACGATTTTTTCTGTTGCACTTGGTTATATTTAATGAAAGAATGTTCTGAAATTTTTTTAATTTTTCAGTCTTTTTTTTATGAAATAAAAAATTAATTTGATATCCCTGTTCGTACTTTACAAAGTGATAATGCATGTGAATATCTGTCTACTCAGTTTCAGACCTTTATGGCATCACATGGTGTGTTACATCAAACATCTTGTCCTCATATCTCCAACAGAATGGAGTTGCAGAACGCAAAAATAGGCATTTACTTGAGACCACCCGAACTCTTCTTCTCCACTCTTATGTTCCTCATTAGTTTTGGTATGATGCAGTACTCACTGCATGTTATCTTATTAACCGCCTGCCTTCCTTCCTCTGTTTTACAAGGTAAAATCCCTCATCAAGTTCTATACCCCCACCACTCTCTTCATCCTTTACCCCTTCGGGTCTTTGGTTCTACATGTTTTGCTCATGCTTTTGGTCCTGACACTGACAAGCTCTTTTCTTGGTCTCATAAGTGTGTTTTTCTCGGGTACCCACGGTCTTAAAAGAATACAAGTGTTATTCCCCTACTCTTCGCAGGTATTTCATTTCTACTGATGTTACTTTCTTCGAGTCCATTCCATTCTTTGAACCTAGAACATCTACACTTGAGTCTTCTCCGTCCACGACTGCCCCCCTAGTTCAATCCTTTTTCTATCCTCCAGAGGCGTCTCCATTGCCTCCACATCCATCTCCTCCACCTTTGCAGGTATATCAGCGTCGTACTCATCCTGTTTTAGAGCCACCGAGCACTGACAACACCATGGACTCACCTTTGGAGCCACCTTTTCGCCTCATCTTCCGGTCCCGCTCTCTGAATCTGACATTCCCATTGGAAGGTATCTCCTCATTATATTTCTTTAAGTTATCATCGTCTTTCTCTTTCTTATTATTCTTGCCTTTCTTCCTTGTCCTCTGTTTCTATTCCTAAAAGTACAGGTGATGCATTTTTTCATCCCGGGTGGAAACAAGCTATGCTAGACGAGATGTGTGCATTACAGAACAGTGGGACTTGGGACCTCGTTCCTCTACCACCAGGGAAGTCAGTTGTTGGTTGTCGGTGGGTGTATACAGTCAAGGTTGGTCTAGACGGCAAGGTTGACCGACTTAAGGCCTATCTCGTCGTCAAAGGCTATACTCAAATCTTCAGGTTGGATTATGGCGACACCTTCTCTCCCGTGGCCAAATTGCCCTTTGTGCGACTATTCCTATCCATTGCTGCCATACGTCATTGGCCTCTCTATTAGTTGGATATCAAGAATGCTTTCTTACATGGTGATTTGCTCGAGAAAGTCTACATGGAGCAACCACCTTGCTTTGTTGCCCAGGAGGAGTCCTCTGGTCTTGTATGTCAATTGCGAAAATCTTTATATGGCCTCAAGTAGTCACCAAAAGCATGGTTTAGCAGATTCAGTACTGTGATTCAACAGTTTGGCATGACTCGGAGTGAGGCTGACCATTCTGTCTTCTATCGTCACTCTCCTACCGGTTGCATTTACTTGGTTGTTTATGTTGATGACATTGTCATCACAGGTAGTGACCATCAAGGCATCGTACAGGTGAAGCAACATCTCTTCAAACATTTTTAGACAAAGGATCTTAGCAAACTCATCATTTTCCAAAAAGAAGTATGCAATGGATATTTTGGAAGAAACAGGAATGTTAACTTCCAAGCCAGTCGACACTCCCATGGATCCCAATGTCAAGCTCCTGCCAGATCAGGGGGAGCCTCTTCTAGATCTTGAAAGGTACAGATGGTTAGTAGGAAAGTTGAACTACCTCACTGTTACCCGTTCAGATATCTCATTCTCAGTGAGTGTAGTAAGTCAATTCCTCAACTCTCCATGTAAGGAACATTGGGATGCAGTGATTTGCATTGTTCGATACATCAAAGAAGCTCCAAGAAAGGGTCTTTTGTATGAAGACAAAGGACACACTCAAGTTGTGGGATATTTTGATGCAGATTGGGCAGGATCTCCCGTAGATAGAAGGTCCACCTCTGAATTCTGTATATTTGTTGGAGATAACCTTGTCTCTTGGAAAAGTAAGAAGCAGAATGTTGTAACCTAGTCGAGTGGGGAAGCGGAATATCGAGCTATGGCTATAGCGAGTCAGGAGCTTATATGGCTCAAACAGTTGCTTCAAGAACTAAAGTTTGGAGAGGTCATACATATGTCACTTATATGTGATAATCAAGCCGCTATGCATATTGCCTCAAATCCAGTATTCCATGAGAGGACATAGCACATTGAAGTTGATTGTCACTTTGTCAGAGAGAAAGTCATGCCCGGAGAAATATCTACTAGTTTTGTCAATTCTCATGACCAACTAGCAGACATCTTTACTAAGTCACTAAGAGGTCCTCGGATTAACTACATATGTAACAAGCTTGGTGCATATGACTTATATGCTCTAGCTTGAGAGGAAGTGTTAGAATCTATTAGAATCTTGTAAATATAGTAATTGTATATCTTGTAATTATTTACTCTTCTCTATAAATTGGAATAACTCTGCTATGCCTTAAACACACGGATTCAATATTTTCTCTCTCAACAATGCCAAACTGGCTGCCCGCCATTATGGTCTTTTTCCAGTATTGGAACGAGTGGGAACTGTAGCTTATCGATTAAAGCTCCCTGAAACTTCTAAGATACATCCGGTGTTCCATGTGTCTTTATTAAAAAAGGCTATTGGCAAATACCACGTGAAACCTGAGCTACCAGCACGAATGGAAGTGGAGTTGCAGGATTCTGTAGAACCTGCAGTTGTGCTCGCATCTCGAGTGATAAACTCAGGAGGGGATTCAATTAAACAGTTGTTGGTGCAGTGGAAAGGAAAGTCAGCCAAAGAAGCTACATGGAGGAAGAGTTCGTATGAGAAGCTAATTTCCTGATTTCAGCCTTGAGGACAAGGCTGATTTTGAACAAGGGGGCAATGTTAGAAATCCAAATAGGCCAGATGGATCCGAAGAACAAATGGGCCAGCAATTGGTTGAGAGGCCCAAGATTTGGAAAGTTTATAGGAGAAAGAATAAGAAAGGAATGAGGGGGGAATGATGAGCTGGAGGAAAGAGAGTAAAGGCATGAAAGTAGTTATGAGAGGATGGGAGGATGAAAAATAGAAAAGGGAGAGAGGACATTCGGGAAGGAGGAGAATCACGGAGTTGGTTAAGGAAACAGAAAATAATTCTCTATAGGAGGTTCTGCTCTGGGATCGTAGTGTGTATTGCTGCTGTAATTCTTTCATTATCATAGTTATAATCCATTTTATTTCAGCATTCATATTTCTTTTGCTGTTATTTTCCTTCTTATTGAGTATAGCTCTGTAACTGTATGCAGAAGGTCAAGACAGTTATATTCAACAACACAGTCACACATTAAAACTCTGTGCCCTATGTTGTGTTAGTGGTAAATTTAAGCTTATGCCATATGTTGGCAGGCAAATCAGGAATATGCGTAGCAGAACTCTTAGTAGAGTCTGAAGTTCTAATATAAACAGGTAGATATACAAGATCAATGTGCTGGTAAATCGGGTTATTAATAGTGCCGTTGCTCATCATGCAGAAGCTACCATGTCACATTTTAATGGATAGTATTAAGATGTCCCACATTGGTTAAGAATAGAGCCAATATATTCCTAATAAGGGTTAGGGTAGTCTTCCTCCTATGAGCTAACTTTTGAGAGTTAGGCTTAAGTTTCTTAACATGGTATCAGAACCTATCCAGTTTGAATGTTGGGCTACCTACAGATGTCCAGTCCTAGATGTAAAGGGTGTGTGTTAAGATGTCCCACATTAGTTAAGAACTACCTACAGATGTCCAGTCCTAGATGTAAGGGGTGTGTGTTAAGATGTCCCACATTGGTTAAGAACAGAGTCAATATACTCTTTATAAGGGTTATGGTAGTCCTCTTCCTATGAACTAGTTTTTGGGAGTGAGTTAGGCCCACGTTTCTTGACAGAGATTACTTGTTGGTTTCACTTTTGTGCCCCAAATTGCACCAATTAGAGGATGTAGCAGCTGTGATGATAAAGAGGGATTAAAATACCTTAGTCTCCCCAAGATTGTTAGTTGTCCATCCAATTTTTTGGGGATTATATTACAATTTCCCCTGTTCTTCATTAGATAGAGTTTGAAACTGCTCTCTCATGGTGAAACCAAATGTGGCACAATGGTTACACTCCAAAACTTTTCCTAGGAAAGTCTTGTCACAAGATAAGACATAGACAAGCCAGGTAAGTCTATAACCTAATTTACCCTTGTAAATTTATTTTTATCCCCATTTAAGTTACCGGATCCATAGATTTGAAGGCCTATTATTAATTAATAGACCCACCATAGCTGAACATGCTAATAGGTTATTCTTATTCTAAGCTGGAATAAGATAATTTTAAGTAAAGTCTCTATATAGAAAAAAGATAACAAGTTATATCAAATTTAAAACCTTAAATACAAAATTAATAGCCTTAGATAAAATAATAAAACTAAACAAATTCAATCTATATCACCACCCCAATATGATTTGAAGCTTGGATATTCAAAATTTACTGTAAATCCGTATGTCAATCTGTATGTAAAAGACTCTGATAAGATTTTATTAAACAGAAAGGGCCAATATGGCAAATCAAAACTCACATATATCGTATTTTTCAGAGGCTACAATCTTTCTCTGTCTGCAATGTTTAAGAGTCTTAGTTCTATAGCATGTAGTTTTCAAACTGATTGTTTGCAATCTCTTCTTAACTTTAAACGACTTTCTCATTTCATGTGTTTCTTTTTACATGTACTTTTCTAGGCCCTTCAACCTTTGCCTCTTATTTCCTTACTTTGAAATTTGCAGATGGAGTTGCACCAAGAGCCAAAATGAATCAGCAACGTTCTCGACGCTTCCGAGCTGCAAAAGATGCATCTGAGGCTGTAAGAATGTTAATATGCTCATGCTTACAAGTGTCTCCTGCCTTTTCTGTGATGAAGTTTGAGTTACTATCCTTATGTGTAACATAATAGGAAGCTGAAGCAGAAAGGCTGAGGAAAGAATTTAAGGGCGAGGGAAAAGTGTTGTCGACTAAAGATAAGCCTGAGACTTCAGACTCAAATGTCATTACCCCTGGAACTGAATTTATGGGGGCACTGTCTGTGGCTCTTCAGTATTTTGTACAGACTAGATTGAGCCACAACCCTAGCTGGCAGAATACAAAGGTGCATTTGACACCTCATCCAATTAATTCTTTACAGTGCTTGATCCCTTAAACATTGGGTGATTCCTTTCTGTGGAGTAATCCCATCTATTTTCTTTTCTTTATACATCTGGTTTTCAGGATATTTTGTCTCTATATATTTATTTATGGGGCTGCATTGGGTGATTAATTATTTGAAGGTTATACTGTCTGATTCAAATGCACCTGGTGAGGGAGAACATAAAATAATGGAATACATCCGGTTACAACGCAACATTCCTGGTTTCAATCCAAATACTCGACATTGTTTGTATGGGTTGGTGAGTTTTTGTCCTATTTTGATTTTCATCTTATCTGGTTTTGGTGTATCATTGCATGATTTGATCCTTAAACCAGGATGCTGATTTGATTATGCTCTCCTTAGCTACGCATGAAGTTCATTTCTCAATATTGAGGGAGGTTAGTTTGCAATTTCTCAGTTTTTTTTTTTTTTTATATTGTTAGATCATTGATCTATGGGTTGTCTCAAATGATTAATTACCCCATGAACAGGTAATTACCTTACCTGGACAACAGGATAAGTGTTTTTTGTGTGGTCAAGTTGGACATTTTGCAGCTGATTGTCAAGCTAAGGACTGTAATCCTCCTGATGATAGCCCAATTCACAAGAAGAAATATCAGGTTGGAGGATTGGAGTCCAGCATGTTGATTTGAATCTTTATTTTCTTTTCTGTATATTTTAAATTTTAAACTAATTCATAGCATTCACAGTTTCTTAACATCTGGGTGCTGCGTGAATATTTGCAATATGAATTGGAGATACCCAACCCTCCTTTCGAGATTGAGTTTGAACGCGTAGTGGATGATTTTGTATTTCTATGCTTCTTTGTTGGCAATGACTTTCTTCCACATATGCCAACATTAGAGATCCGGGAGGTAAGCATCTAGAGGGCTATGTGTTACGCTGAGCTGTAGCTTGAAAGAAAAATGTAGCATTGCCATCTGCTTCTTATTACTACTATATTTGGGATGTGGGATCTTAACATGCTTGGGTTATGACTTATGCCCTGTTATCCCATTCCATATTTGTCTTCCTATCTAATTTTCAATGCTATTCTCTGTAATAATATTCCTACTGTTTCAGGGGGCTACAAATTTATTGATACATATATACAAAAAGGAATTTACTGCGATAGGTGGTTATCTTACTTATGCGGGTGAGGTAAATTTCTTTTTTCTGCAATCAAACTTAGTTGTGTAATCTGTTTGTTTTTTAAATGTTACAAGGATGTGATATGTTCTTGGGCATGGTCCAGTCTTCTCCAGCAATTATATCTTAACTTCTTGAGTTTCTTGTTTTGTGGTTTGTGCTTTGGATGTAGCTCTTAAATCAACAACCTGGAATTCTGATCAGTTTTGTGTAATGTGAATATCTATATACCTCGCAGGTTTTCTTAGATAGAGTCGAACAATTTTTCCAGTTTATCATTGTTCATGAAGATCAAATATTTCAGAAACGAGTTCGGATTCAGCTGGTATTATGCTTTATAATTACTTTCACAAACTGATATGCAATAGCTATATGTTTTTATAGGTTACTTCCTGATATTTAATTTGTGTGACTGTATTTGTAGGCTGCAGAAAATAATGAAGAGATGAGAGCTAGGGCAAGAGGAGAAATGCCTGGAGAACCACGAGCCTCACTTGTGGATAAGGTTCAATATTTAGATTTAATGCCAGATTATTTTCTGCATTTGCTAAATTTAGTATTTATCGTTGACTTTCTACAGCATGTTTTGGAACACCACTAGAATTACTTTTCAAGACTGCCAAAGTAATTCTACTGGTGTACCCAGACATGCAACTAAAGATGCATCTCTGTGACAGCAAAACTAGGCTAATGTTGGACCCATTAAATCCAATGAGCAATCTAGAAATCCTGACAAAATTTGAGAACTGAATGTTTGTTATTTTCTCAGGTTAAATTAGCGGAGCCTGGATACAAGGAAAGGTACTATGCTGAAAAGTTTGGTGTATCAAATCTGGAGGAGATTGATAAAATTAAGAAAGATGCTGTAAGTTCTATTAATTTGTCTAACATAAGACTAATTAATATTGTAAAATTTTTTGCAATTCTTGGATCACATTATATCCTTCTTTTTGAGAGAGAAATATTAAATCCATGTGTTTTTGGGCACAGCGGAATTATTTTAATTTATAGAGAAGAGTACATAATTACAAAATATACAGTTACTATATTTACAAGATTCTAATAGATTTTAACACTCCCCCTCAAGATAGAGCATATAGGTCATATGCACGAAGCTTGTTTTATATGTAGTTAATTCGAGGACCCCTTAGTGACTTAGTAAATATGTCTGCTAGTTGGTCATGGGAATTGACAAAACTAGTAGATATTTTCCCGGACATGACTTTCTCTCTGATAAAGTGACAATCAATTTCAATGTGCTTTGTCCTCTCATGGAATACTGGATTTGAGGCAATATGCATAGCGGCTTGATTATCACATATAAGTGACATATGTGTGACCTCTCCGAACTTTAGTTCTTGAAGCAATTGTTTGAGCCATATAAGCTCTGACTCGCTATAGCCATAGCTCAATACTCTGCTTCCGCACTCGATCAGGCTACAACATTATGCGTCTTACTTTTCCAGTAGACAAGGTTATCTCCAAAAAATATACAGAATCTAGTAGTGGAGATCCTGCTCAATCTACATCAGAATATCCCACAACTCGAGTGTGTCCTTTGTTTTCATACAAAAGACCTTTACCTGGAGCTCCTTTGATGTATCGAACAATGTGAGTCACTGCATCCCAATGTTCCTTACATGGAGAGTTGAGGAATTGACTTACTACACTCACTGCAAATGAGATATCTAGACGGGTAACAATAAGGTAGTTCAGCTTCCCTACTAATCGTCTGTACCTTTCAGGATTTAGAAGAGGCTCCCCCCTGATTTGGTAGGAGCTTGACATTGGGATCCATGGGAGTGTCGACTGGCTTGGAAGTTAACATTCCTGTTTCTTCCAAAATATTTATTGCATACTTCCTTTGGGAAATGATGATCCCATTTTTAGACTATGCTACTTCTATTCCCAAAAAATGAGTTTACCAAGATCATTTGTCTGAAAATGTTTGAAGAGATGTTGCTTCATCTGTGCGATGCCACAATGGTCACTACCTGTGATGACAATGTCATCAACATAAACAACCAGGTAGATGCAACTGGTAGGTGAGTGATGATTGAAGACAGAATGGTCAGCCTCATTCTGAGTCATGCCAAACTGTTGAATCACAGTACTGAATCTGCTGAACCATGCCCTGGGTGACTGCTTGAGGCCATATAAAGATTTTCGTAGTCGATATACAAGACTAGAGGACTCCCCCTGAGCAACAAAGCAAGGAGGTTGCTCCATGTAGACTTCCTTGAGCAGATCACCATGTAAGAAAGCATTCTTGATATTCAACTGATAGAGAGGCAAATGACGTATGGTAGCAATGGATAGGAATAGTCTTAGAGGGCAATTTGGCCACGGGAGAGAAAGTGTCGCCATAATACAACCCGAAGATTTGAGTATAGCCTTTGGTGACGAGACGAGCCTTAAGTCGGTCAACCTTGCCGTCTGGACCTACCTTGACTGTATACACCCACCGACAACCAACAACTAACTTCCCTGGTTGTAGAGGAACAAGGTCCTAAGTCCCACTGTTCTGTAATGCACACATCTCGTCTAGCATAGCTTGTTGCCATCTTGGATGGGCAAATGCATCACTTGCACTCTTAGGAATAGAAACAAAGGACAAGGAAGAAAGACAAGAATAATAGGAAGGAGAAAGACAATGATAACCTAAAGAAATATAATGAGAAGGATTACGAGTAGAACGTATACTTTTTTGAAGGACAATTAGAATGTGAGGTTCAGAGGGCAGGACTAGAGGATGAGGCGAAAGAGGTGGCTCCAAAGGTGATAACATGGTGTTGTTAGTGCTCGGTGGCTTCAATACAGGACGAGTACGACGTTGACATACCTGCGAAGGTGGAGGAAAGGGGTGTTGAGGGGATGGAGACTCCTCTGGAGGGCAGAAAAGGAACTAGGGGCAGTCGTGGACAGGGAAGACTCGAGTGTAGATGTTCTAAGCTCAAAGAATGGAATGGACTCAAAGAAAGTAAATCAGCAGTGATAAAATACCTGCGAAAAGTAGGGGAATAACACTTGTATCTTTTTTGAGATCGTGGGTACTCGAGGAAAATACACTTATGAGACCAAGGAGAGAGCTTGTCAATGCCAGGACCTAGAGCATGAGCAAAACATGTAGAACCAAAGACTCGAAGTGGTAAAGGATGAAGAGAGTGGTGGGAGTATAGAACTTGATGAGGGATTTTACCTTGTAAAACAGAGAAAGACATGCGGTTAATAAGATAACATGCAGTAAGTACCGCATCACCCCAAAACTGATGAGGAACATGAGAGTGGAGAAGAAGAATGGGTGGTCTCAAGTAGATGCCTATTTTTGCGTTCTGCAATTCCATTTTGGTGGGGGTATGAGGACAAGATGTTTGATGTAACACATCATGTGATGCCATACAGGTCTGAAACTGAGTAGATGGGTATTCACGTGCATTATCACTTTGTAAAGTGCGAATAGTGATACCAAATAGAATTTTTATTTCATAAAAAACAGACTGAAAAATTGAAAAAATGAAAAAATTTCTAAACGTTTTTTCATTAAGTATAACCAAGTACAACGGGAAAAATCGTCTATAAAAGTAACAAAATATCTAGACCCTAATGTAGAGGAAGTACGACTTTGACCCCAAACATCTGAATGAACTAAAACAAAAGGGGACAAAGCCCGACTCATAGTGCAACTAGAAAAAGATTTATGAACATGTTTGCCTAATTGACATGACTCACAAGACAAAGACTCTAACTTAGAAAGACTAGGGTATAGCTGTTTCAACTTATCAATGACTTCCTTGTCAAAGTACTAACATTCTATGAACCAAACTGAAACACGCGTTCCTGTACTAACTTTTTTATTCACATTCATCAAGTCAAATGTGAAGATCTTTGCTCATTTAACACTTCATCAAGGCGTTAGTGCAGCAGCTAAGATCATTCAACACTTTATGTGAGCCATATAGCGTGTTACTTCCAAGTAACAACCTAATCCTAACACAATATCTTGTGTGTAATTCATATAAAAGGTTTTGACAAGTTTTACATTGGATGCCGAAGGCCTAACACAACTCTCCTCCTTTACCTAGGCTTGGGACTAGCTATGGGGTCATAGGTAGAGTTAACTTTACCTTGAGTCAAACAAAACAAAATCTTGAGTCATAGTTGAATCTTGCAATCAACTTAATCAAGTGAACTGACAAGTTATAATTCTTTGGCGTTCTTCTCAATGGTGTTTCATCCTAAAGAGCAGCACCACATATTGTTTATAAACATTGGATGTGTTATCTAATGTCAGGATGCTATCAGGTAATACCTTTCTTTACTTTGAGTGGCACATCTAGTCATGGCATGAAGCCTATGTTTTTGAAGAATGAAAATTGGGCACACATAGCCAAATAGGGTGCACAGAGTGAGTGACTGAAATTGATAGGAACACCCACAGAATGATGAAAAAGAATGATTCTGACCAAGTCCCACGTGAAACTGAAATTCTGAATGAGGAAAGAAAGATACAATGTTATTTTCCCATGTTCTGGGTTTTCAAGAGACCCAACATACCCCACTTTCGGACTTCTTAAAATTATCCACACCTATTCTCTCTCATTATATTATATTTCTAGGCTTAGCTTTTCCATCTAACTAATTGCTTTTATTAACATGGGAAATTATTCCCTATTACAGTCTTTATTTCTCCTAATGTTCACATTTCTTCTTCTAGGTTTTGCCTAATGGCTTTCTTCATCTATATGTGATGCATCTGACAGGTCACAAGTACCTGGAGCAGTTGCTGGACCTCAACTGGGAGAAGCAGCTCGTCGACTTGTCAAGAGCACACTCAACATTAAATTGAGTAGTACATCCCATGGATTGTTGGAAAAACCTCTAGTTCATCATACAATGAATAGGCCTCAGTCAGCTGGATACAGGAAATATTATGGTGAGAACACAAGTGGTTGTTATGGACAATACAATCACCGTGGTATAATAACTAGACCCAAACATGGTGTACAGAATGATAGACAGAATTGGAGGATACAAGATAGGTCCCAACATCAAGAACTGTTCCACAACTTGAAAACTGAGATTTCTGCCTCAACAATGGAGGAAGGAGGGAGACCTAGGTCATTAAGGCTTCCAAATTCCAGACCAATAACCAATTTACAAACCCAGTTTGTGCAGAACAAGGGTCCTTCAATGCCACCTCCAAAGTGGGTGACTAAAACACCATCAATGAATGGAATATATACTAGGCATCAAGAAACTGCATTGGGGGAAGCAGGTTATGATAAGCAGACGAAGAAAGTTTACCAAGTTAAAACATGTCAGCCAGATACACCAGAATTTTCAAATCAATAGTAATTCTTGGGATCTATTTGCCTTGTGTATGAGGTGCCTCCGCTCCTCAAATTGCAGCAATGCTCTCTCTATTGTCATCCTAGTTCAACAATCAATTGCAGGGGCGCGTTAATTTGATTGCAATGTGATACCCTAATGCAGTTGGCAGAGTAATGATGTTCAGTGTTTTCTATGACTAATGTGGAGTCAGGGCGCTGCTTCACTCTGTGTTGAACAGACATGGTACCCCACTGATAGTTGTCCTGGAAGGTGCAAGAACTAATAAGATATTTGCTATCCTGCATTTCAAGTTTTAAACAAATACTCCCTCATGGAACTGGTATAGTCAGATGGAGAACATCAACTTGTGAGTTGTCACCCAGTTTGCGGGCTAGAATCTTCTTTTCCATGGTCTGGAACTAGGCTGTTGCATTGTGAATGTAAAGATAGGTTTAGTAGCTTTGCTTAACAGTTAAACTGTACATACCCAGTGGCTGATGTAAGTAGAATTTGATTTACTTAATGGGAAATGTAAGATATTTGCCTGGGATTGTTATACCCAGCGGCTGTATGTTGCATGGGATATAAAAGCTATTATTTCATGGGGGCCAGCAGCTCTAATGATTTGTGCCGCAATTCCGCTCGATATGTTTGATGAAGTGTCCAAGGGATATGTTTTCCACGTAGGTAATGGAGTATGATAAGAATAGTATGGTTCCAGTTCTATTTTAAAGTGTTAAAGGAAAATCTATTCTAAATAGGATTTATTAGTTTTTAAATTTCTATTTATACGTTCGAAATATTTTATAGCTAACAACAGTTGTACAGATAAGTAGACTATTATGAATATAACAACATATTTATTCTATATCACAACTTCGTATAATAATAATTGTGTTAAATAATAAATTTAATTTAACGGTAAAAATAAACAAAAAGTGAATTGCTTAATTTATTTAAATATTGATGTGGGTATAGTATGTTCCGATTTACTGCTGAAATCATTTCAACTAAACCATCCAGTTTAAAAATCAATTCAAACTACGATTGAGTTCAAGTTTTTCTTTTACAGATTTAAAGTTTTAAGCACATCTAATTATAAGCTTTGTTTGCTTATCAGTCTCGAGCCCCGTTCTTATACGAACTTGACTTCTTTAAAATGAGGTTGCATTTTATTTTACAACAGTTAAAGCTTATTCCACTAGGTAAAGTTGTTTACCGTATGCATTTCATTTTAAAAATATAAAATTCTAATCATTAATTTAAAGTAAAACAATATATACACACGTGTGTATAATTATGAATTATCAATAATTTTATGTTATATTTATATTTTAAAAATATAATACTTATTTCAGTGAAGTTAAACGCATGTATAATAGCCGATTCTAGAAAAATTAAAAACAAGAGGATTTTGAGTTTGTTTTCGAACACATCTCAGTCTCACTGTGCTACGTTTCAGATGGTATAGGATAACTCGATGGATAATGCGAGTGAACTCGTGTTGATTTCGGTTAGTTTATACTTCATACCCAAAATTATTCTAAATTTCCATGAAAATGAAAGTTCACTGTTCAAGTCCATAATTTCTAGGTAAAAAGAAAAAAGCAATATTATTGACTTTTTTTCAAAGAATTTGGTTAACAAGTGCCTTAAGAACATTGATTAAAGAATCGATCCATTTTCTACTCTTTCATTTTGTCTTTAGAACTTTTGTTAGTACCATCATTTGCTGATACTTTCAAGCGTATCGAATTTACTACATTATTTTAATATTTTTACGTATTGTTTGTTTCTCCTGTATTCCTTCTGCCATGTGATTGGCAATTTGGCACAGTCATTATAATAATTAGGAATTTCGAATTTGGAAGTTGAACTAGTGTGAAGGCACGTACTCCAGAAGAAAAATGAAACGGATGAACTAATTAATCATTGAATAATGCTGAAAGTTATGAATAATCTATTTTTCAACCCTTGCCCCTGCCTCCCCCTCTTCAATTTTCACTTCTCTCGTGTCTCTCTCTTTCCAAGGACCAGCAGATCCCAATCATTGAAAAGCAGAACTGCAGTGCACACTTCAACTTTACCACAATCAACTAGTGATAACTACCTGACAGCAATGTTAACCAGCCTGCGGGTAAAAAGTAAAACAAAACTGACAGTAAAAATTGCTCTTCGTTGCAATCTAAACTCGTCATCTTTCAGAACCTCGATTATGTACAGAAAATCCACAAATGACCACACTGATCAGAGGTACCAACAGAGTTAGGCTTACTGAATAAGAGAACTCATGTGGCTGGACATATTAAAAATATTTTCAAAAAGTATGACATGAATCGAATCATCCAAAAGCAGCCACTAGAATTTGCCATTGCATACCATTATCCTACCAAAATAAAAGAACTCAGAAATTACAAAACCCAAAGCAACGCGGGTTACCACATGTTATGTAACCAAAAAGCAACTTTTCCTTTGGCAAAACTATTCACACACAATTGCATACTTTACAACACTCATCAAAATACAAGGCAGTTCATCAGTTCCCTGTATCTGTACATACACTAGTAAATTATTAATTACCGAAGAAAATTTTACAAGAAACTAAAAAAATCAACATTTTATTGAACTGTTGTATGGAATCATTAAAAGCTAAACTAAAACTCAAAAATAAATTACTAGCTATCAATCTACCCTATAAACCATTGATGGATGAATAATTAGAGAGCAAACCCTTTAACGTGAACAAGAAGGGGAGGAATTCGAAAGGGTACCAACAATAAAACAAAAAGCTAAGTTTTATTTTGGGTCATCCTCCTCCAGCAGATCGCAACTCCTCGAGAGCAACCTTGATCTCATGCTGCACCAATTCCAAACGCTTGGAATACACTTCCAACTCCAAAATCTGTTGCTTTCTCCAGTTATCATCACCCCCTATTTCCCCAATTCCCAAATTCAAAAGACTCAACGGCATTGGCATTGGCATTGGCATTGGATTCAACGCGAAGCCTCCTCTTCCCCCAAAACCAAAAGGGTTTCTAAATCCCATGCCACCACTTACCAACAACTCCTTCAACACCGGAGACAAACAACCCCTCACAGTCTCTTCAATCAAACCCTGTAAGGTATGCCTACCATTACAATTTTCATTATCTTTATTGTTGTTGTTATTATTATTATTATTGCTATTACAATTATTATCTTTATGCAACGCTGAACCATCGTTCATATCACGCTTCTCCGATCGAGATCGCGACCGCTTCCGCGACGACGCGGTCCTCTTCTCGTTCATCGATTCACTCTTCATTGAGTGGCTGAAATTAGGGTTAGGATTAGGGTTGAGGTTGATTTCGTCGTCATCTTCGACAGGACCGGTTATTGGACCGGTGTTGCTCCAGATCCTGCACGAGATTTCGAAGGTGGCTTGATCGTGAGGGCTTTTGAAAGAAAAATCCTTGCCGGACGTGATTTTGGTGAGAACGTTGCGGTATTTCTTCTTCAACCTTCGGAGCTTCTCGACGAGCTGATTCTTGTTGAAACCGAGTTGAAGCTTTGACTTGATTTGGTCGTAGAACAAAGCGGTGTCGTTGTGGTGAGAGGATCCTCGCTGTGCGGTGTATTCGAGAAACCCTTGCAAGAGGCCGATCTCGTCCTCGTCGGTCCATAGACGCTGAAACAGTCTTCGAGAATCGTCCAACGCTTTTTTCTCTTCGATCTGCTCGGTGCGCTGTCGTTTAGGCGAGGAATCGGCGACGGCGATTGTCGCCGTCGGAATTGTCACGTTGTCGGCTTCGGATACGGCGGAACCGGGCGCGGCGAGGGCGACGACGGCGAGGGCAGAGGAGGTGGAGGGGGAGGGTTCGGTTTCATCGTCTTCGTCAGGTTCGCACAAAACGTCGTCGTCTTCGTCTTCCTCTTCTTCGTCCTCCAGCGTTTCGTCGTCGTCGTCGAGATCTTCCTCGGGGAAAACGGCGTCGTTTTGGTGGGATGCCATGGGAATTGGTTAGGCGAAGGGGGCAGTGAGTGCTCCTCTCGCGGAATATGTTTTGTTGGAGTCACTTCACTCGGTCAATTAGAATGAGACGACAATCTCTGAGGTGGTTTAGGTAGGGGACCGAACAAGTTGGCCCACATTATTTTCTTTTATTTATTAAGGTTTTCATCAACTTTTTATTTTAATTTTACATATTTTATTGATTTTTATCTTTACAATTTTGTATTGCTCACTTAACAAGTGTGTCTTGTATTTAATCACGTTATACCTTATATCACCTTAGAATAATTTTTATATAACATGCTTAAACATGTAATACTATTATTTTTTATTATATATAATTCATTAAAAAAATAACTGATTGATCAATATTATTAAAAAAATTAGTTATACATCATAAAATTATAGTTTTTTAAAAAATATTTATAATAATAAATAGTTAAATTAGTGACTCATACATTAAATAAAAAAATGGATAATAAATGAGTATAATTAAAATAAATATATTAAATAGAATTTTTTTTAAAAATGTAATAATTAAATATGAGTTTTTATTTTTTATATTTTGGATCAAAGTAATAATGATTTTTAATTTTTATAAAAAATCAGAAATAATATTAAATAAATAAATAAAATTATTCACTTATATAGATAATAAGTTTCTCATTAATATAAATATTATAATAAATAATAATTAATAATTAATGTATCTAAAAATTATAAATGCAATTGAAAGAAGTATGCATTAGTCAAGTTATGTTATTTTTTAAAAAAAATTATTAAAAAAAATTATTTTTTCAAAATATTAAAATTAAACGATCTTCTATTTATATAGATTAAAGATATATTTAAGCTTAAATTCTCGGATTGAATCTGTCTCAAATATTATTCTAGTTGATAAAATATAGAAGAACAGTTTTAACGTCATTGCTTATGAGTTTCATATCTCTGTTTTGTAAAAAATGTGACCCCGCATGTAAAATGCAAACGTTTGTAAAAACAACGATGTATTGTGTATACATTTTTAATTTAATTTAACTGATGTAGATAATGATAGAAAAGTAAGATAGTTATGCGGATAAAACTAAAACTATAAACATGATATTAAAAACATATAAAAAATAATTTACATGTCAAATTGTTGTGGGATTTGGGTTATTCATGTGATGTGAAGTCAACACAGTTCATTCAGCACAGCCGCTGGAAGTTGAAACCTAGGAGCTCCCTGATTTTAAGTTTGTTGCGTAGTGTATATCTCTATCTGTATCCAGTTGGTGGTTGAAAGGTCAAACATTAAACCTTGGAACTTCTTGCTTTCAGATTTGTTCCACCACAGCACCACCTATTGACGTGTTCCGTTCACGTAGTCAAGTGCCATTTGCTATGCTAACCTCTTTTTTTAACTATTATTCACGCCAGACGCAACTGCATTTTTAGATTTAACATTTTCTTAATATATATTTATGAGTTTTTGTTTTTTCAATTCACCTTATTCTAACTTGACTCCGTTAAAATTAGCAAGAGAAGCAAAGTCTTTTATCTAATTTACGCAGTTCTACTTTTAGCATTTCGTATTTGAAATTATTAATTAAGATAAAACGAATCTCGATCAGTTGATGTATGTGTTCAGAGATACATTTTTATGAATTTTGTTAAAAATTTCTAATGGGCATTAAGATAATTCAATTATCAAAGCTTCACTGCTTACTCTAGTGTACATAATAAGGATACTGTAAAATCTGTTATAGTGGAGAAGGATATATATTTTTTGTGCACAAAGATATCTCATAATCGACAATAGAATATTTTTTTCAAAGCAGAAAAATTACCAAAATGAATACAATCTCTCTCAAAATAGCATTTTCTTTATACACTTTCATCTTTTAAACATTTTTTCAACCCAATATTTATAAATTATACGAGATCAATTTTTTAACATGAGATGAAATATCTAGTATCTACGTCAAAATTGTTTTTTGCGTTTTGGGTAGAAAGAATGCATAATTGGTTAACAACTAATACTTTTAGAATAAAATCATGATACGAATGATTTGTCTCAAAATCCTCAAGTTGTCAACCCCGTATCAAATGGAAGAAATTTCGGTGATTGAAGGTTCCACAAAAAATAAGGATAAATTATACACACTTTCATAAGTTTAACTAAATTTTACTAAATATTTTTCTCAACCATATACTAAATTTCTTAAGTCATGTACTAATGCAACATCGTATAGCTTTTTTAATTATACAAATTAGTCAAAAAAAAATTATACAATTGTATAAAATTGGGAACGTTAAAGCAATACAAAAGAAAAAAGAGGTATCAAGTAAGATTTTAGTAAATCTCAATAAATGTGAATGTAATGGCCAAGAATCACACACTTCGTCTATCTGTCACTGCATAATGCAATTCCGTACAAAGAAAGTTCAAGGCTGCCACAACAGACTTTTAAGTCTGCAAAAGGGATTCAACTTTAGCTGAAGCACTTGCATTGAGGTGGGGTTTGTAATTAACTCTTTCATGGAACATTGAAGCTTCATAAAGCTTTCCAGTGAGAAAGTTCCCCGCCAACTATAGACTATTTTATTCAAGATTGTAAATATATAGCTTCCCTTTTCTGAGAATTCAATTTGTTTTACTCAAGTAGGGAAACAAATGTAGAAGCTCACAGTTTAGCATCTTCTACTATAGATTACCATATTTATAGCTGGTGGGATGAACCTCCACAAAGGATTTTGTTAGCCCTTGAAACAGACCCTATTTCTCTTCAATAAATTTCATCCTCTATTTTGCTTATTTAAGAAAAATGAATGATTTTGTATCAAGCAAGATATTTTTTAGCCGAACTCGAATTATACGGACATGCATCTGTAAACGAGATTTTTCTTTTTGTGGAGATTATAAAAATGCATTCTATTGATAGTAAATGCACAACTGCCATAAACGAATAAGCGGTTACCTTGATACTCTAATATGCGGAAAAAGGAAGTGTAGTGTCTCCTCAACAATGCTTTTGCCGCTGGTTTCTTGGATGTTTTCGCCCTCTTCACCCTCATCATCCTCTTCAGAAGAAGAAAAAGAAGAAGAAAGCCTTGACATTAACACTGACCAAAACGACAATGTGGAAGATGAAGAAAACGACCTTTTTCTCAGTTCATCCGATGTCGACGACACCATTCCCATTGCCCTCGCTGTTCCCAATGCCTCCCCCGCCGTGACGGTGGCCTTCCCCGCAGACGATGAAAGGAACACCGTTGCCACCACCGCCACTGCCACCATTATAATAACACGCTCAAAAGGACAGCAAACAGCCAATTATTCTGGCATGGTGAGACAATATCAGAGGCTATGGACCAAGCAGGACGAGATGGAATTGTTGAAGGGATATCTTGATTACACCAAGCAGCACCGAAGGGCCACTGCAACTCTCCAAAACGATGTAGCTATGTTGTATGATCATGTGAGGCCCAAACTGAACGTGGAATTCAACAAGAACCAGCTTGTTGAGAAGCTGCGTAGGTTAAAGAGAAAACACAAGTTGGCTTTGGACAAAGGCAAGGAGAAAGAGGTTCTTTTTAAGAACCCCCAGGAGCTGGCCATTTTTGAAATCTCCCACAAGATTTGGGGCAATGACAAAGACATAATAGGACAAGATGCCTTGGATGATGATGAATCAGGACGCACTCCTGATTGTCATGATCTTGTCGGCAATGTTAAGGTGAAGATTGAACATCCTGACAACAGTGATGAAATCGACAATAGAGCGCCAAAGCGGCCACGGCTAATCATTGATGATTTGAACGGAACAAATGAGCAGAACAATGGTGATGGTGATACAAGCATACACAGCTTCATTGAGGAGACCATGAGGTCCTGTTTCTCGCCATTGATTCAGGAACTGTTGGATGAAGCACAGGAAGAGCAGTTTGGTGGGTTGCCGCTGATCCCATTGCCGATATACCCTGGAGAAGTGGGCGATGAGCGATGGCAAAAACGGAGGATTTTAGAGCTGGAGGTGTATTTGAAGAGGTTGGAATTGTTGCGGGATCAGATCAAAACTAAATTGGAAGAGTTGCGGTCTAGCTGAGGATGGCCAAGGTTTTATTGACGTGTGGTTTCAAATACATTAGAAAGCCTGTAAATGTGGATTCGATACTGAAGCTACAACTAGTAACATTGAAGTAATCGTGGATCATATGCATTCTAACACATAACTAAACATGCAAATTCTTCTCAACGTGCAGAAACTGTGTTTGTAATGAATAGTAGAATAGCTCTAGCAGTTCGGTAATCTTTTGTAGTAGGGAAAAAATTTAATTATATTATATATATGAATGTAAGGCTTGTAATTTGTAGATTTGGTGCAGTAAAGTATCAGCCCAGCAGCCCAGCTGCCTCCTTCTCTGGCTTGAACCAGCTTTCCCTTGTCCTACGCAACTCTCTAACGTACATATCATTCATATATTAACATATCAATAATCATTTGCAATGTTATAAGCAAATAATATAAACAAATGAACACCAACACAAGAGGATATAAATTTTATATTTCTTGAAATCATGACTCATGAGTATGGTTATAGTGAGAAATTGAAATTTTCCTGAGCAATTGTAACTCGAGTTCAGTTTTAATAAGGGATTAAAAGCAAATCAGTACAGAGGAAACTTGGCTTTGGTCTTCTCAAATACTTGTTCTGCAATAACAGCTCCACTACCATCAGCCTTTTTTATTTCTAACTGGGCCTTCTGATAAAAACCAGTGCCCCTCAGTGCATCGGCAATGAAATCATCAAATCCTATTGCTATGGCAGCTTCTGCTTTAGCTCCATAAACCAGTCTCTGTTTCAATGGGAAAAGAGTGAACAATGTGATCAATTTATAAACAATAGGGAAACATGCGGTGTAAAGAAGAAAATGAGTGGTGTGGTGTGGAAGGCTCACCTTAATTCTTGAAAGATGAATTGCACCAAAGCACATTGGACAAGGCTCACAAGAAGCATAGATTTCACAGTCAGCAAGTTCAATTTGATTCAGCTTTTGACAAGCCTACATATGAGATCCAGTTATAATAAGAGGTCAAATTCCAAAATGACGTCATATTAAACAAAATAAGTAGAAAAACTAAGGAAATATAGATGCAATTTCCAAATAAAAAAAATAGTGCCCTCGTACATATTGACTAAGTAATGTATACCAGGATGAAGAGAATGCTTTTAATGTTAGAGGAAACAATATAAACTATCAACAACTGAAACTCACATACAACCTGTTCAATGTATCGAATGGTGTTTTTCAAAACTCCCAAAGTTTGAGATCCAAATCTGTCTGAGGTAGCCAATAATAGATGATTGCAAGTAAAGATTAAAGAATGCTCAAACTTCAGGTTAAGCGGTTGATAAAGAGAAATAATGCGCCAATAATTTTATCCGCCTAACATGCAGGTTATAAAGATCCAGATGTCATGATGCCTGTTTAAATGGGTTTTAGCCACAATTAAGAACGTAGGAAGGGGAAAAGAAATAAAGAAAGATTATCAAAATATTGGAAACCAAATGGCAGGATATCAAGATTACAACCCCAAGACCTGTTTGTTTTGATAATCCATTCATTCATTGTAGAACTCGGATTTTACAAATCAACAACAAAATCTCAACGGAAAAAATAACAGTTGTTTGTTTAACCTCTCGTATAGCAGTAACCTCGGCATGGGCAGTGGGATCACTGTTTCTTAAAACCATGTTATGACAGCTTACAACCACTTCATCATTTCGAACAACAACTGCACCAAATGGGCCTCCATCGCCACATTCGACCCCCTTATATGCTTCTTCCACAGCTTTTGTTAGGAACTTGTGGTCTCTATCCTGTACAGCTGATATAACAAGAGAAAATAAGACCAATACAGTAATCTACACTTCACAGAAGAACATGTCTGGTGCTGGTAACCACTCTCCACTTTTTCTATCAGTTGAGAGTTAACAATTTAGTTAATACTTTTCAATAATGCAGATAGCTATCATATTTTCAAGAATTATAAATTACTCAAATACAGGTTTTCGTAAGATGTAAATATGGTACAATTATTCTAGAATGGTAAGGTTTTCAGACTTCTTTGGAGTCACGATTTATTATATATCAGTTTTTGGGGGGATGAGACAGAAATTAGCATACCTTCTTGATGACCAGGAAATGCCGAAGCAACAGAGATAGTTCCCTCTTTGGCTCCCAACACTATAACCAAATAAATCCAGGTAAGAGAAAGTATCAAACAATCAGATTCTTTCAGATACAGAAGCAAAATCAACAAAAGACATTATGATGTTAAAATTCTTAATCCTCAGAAATAGGGTCAAATTTTCATGCAAAAAAGTCATGGGAATAGATAAGGAAAATGGTTTCAGCCTATACATGAATGCTATGTCATCATATTAAGGATGCGTTCGGAATTTAGATTAGCAAATCTGGAAGGTATTTTGTAGCAGTTTCATCTCTGATCTGAACTCCCTCAATTCAGATTCTTACACCCATCATTAAAGTAAAGTAACATTCAATTCAATCTGGTTTGCCTCCCTATTGCAAGTAAGTGACAATATTACAGTAACGGAAACAATTGAAGAGGGTCAGTTTTTCTTTTTCATGGTATAATTGAGAAGTAGAAGCAAAAGCTTACGAGTTTTACCATTAGCGGTGGCAGTAGCAGTAGCAGTAGCAGCAGCATCCTCCATTAGGATCGGAGAGGACAAGGAAGGAATCTAGAAAATAGGAATCGAAGGAAGTTTTGAAAAAATGAAATGGATATGGAAAAGGAACGTGAGAGAAAAGAGGCCAGGAATTTCCCGTTATGTTGAAGAGAGAAGCCAACACGGAATAAAAAGGGTGAGGATGCGTAAGTACAGAGCTGTCAATGACTCAATGTTCAGTTTTTGGTCTAACCCAACAAGTCCTGTGAACTCACTAGCCAACCAATTTTCAATGCTGTACAGAATCTTTGTCGTTTTTTCTGCTAAATAATAAACTGAAAATAATTCTAAATTTTCTTATAAAACTATTATTAAGAGGATATCGAAGAAAATATAACGTACTAAAAAAGAAACGATAATTATCTTGTTTATATTGGTGGCTTTATTTTTAAAAAATAATAAATTTTTCTATTAAAAAATTATCACTTTCAAATGTTTAGAATCTATTTAAAGACTAAATAAAATTATTGTTTTAGTGCGGTGAATGAATATTTTGTTATTTTTCAGTGCCATTATTAGCTTTATTTTAATAATTTTTTATTTTGTCCTGGATACCAAAGAAATTGTTGGGGACTCATTTTATTAACGATAGGGAAGCATTATTCACGTACTACTATTTATTTGACTGACCGACGCAAATTGAGTTGATTTTAAAACAATTTTTAAGATAGGCAATGAAATTTGCCCAAATGTGACCCGTGTCCCATTTCGATTTTATATTTACGTTCTATTTTAGAATTTCATTAAGAATAACTCTATTTAAGTCAATCAGCCTATATATTTTTCTCTTGTTTCTTTTTTTGTTTACAATTTCATGCTAGCTATCTAAGTTGTTTTTTAAGCACAATCTTAATGGTTAAACCATATGTTAAAACCCTGGCAATCAATTTTAAGTTATGATGGAATCTTTTTTATACTGCATATAGAATAATAGAATAAATAACACAAATTGCAACGTTAAATTCATACAAGCTAGTAGCATATATTAGAGTCTAACTTCTAAAATGAAGTCTATTTTAAACTTTATTTACAAAATACTGCATCACCATAAAGATTATCGGATAAAATTTACCAGAAAATTGCATTGGCGGACTTTCTTTTTACAGAAAAAGAGTATTTCGATGGACTTGGACCACTGTAAATTGCCGAATAATTTAAATACAATTTAACAAATTGAAAATCAAGTACATAGTTCCGTCTTTTTGAAAAAGAGTGACCGGTCGTAAGAAACTTGCACTGCAGAATTTTTCTTATTCCTCGATGCTTTTCAATGGTCCAGCGGCAATAGCAGTTTATACGAGAACGTAGGCGATAGAATAAAAACATTAGTGCATCAAATAAGATAATGAAATGCATCCAGCACAATTGATGAGAACGACATACCACCGCTATCAATGAGGGGCATAATCATGTAAAGTTAATGCCAGCATATGAACCAAACCAATTAAAACTCAACACGCTGAAAGTATTAAATACCCGTCAACAATGTTTAGAAGAGCTGAATGTCATTGTCAACAATGTTCCCACCAAAATGGAACCGTATAACCCAACCATCTTTCAACCGTATACAATATTTGTAGAACAGATTAAAATCGTGCGCGCAATATCGCATATCTATTTGTAGACTATATTATCAGCTATGCATATAAATGATTTCCACGAGGTATTAAAAATCCTGATTTTGATTGGACCATCACAAATCTAGCAACAAAGGAATTCATAATCACAGTCTACTAAATATTTGAAAGCAGAGGGAAGTGTTCAACTGAATTCTCAAAATTGATAACTGCCCGTTCTCAATCTGAAGCTAACTGAACATCAATTTAAGTAGCATAAACACTCAACAGCAAAACGTCTCATTCTAGGAAGCTATCATAAAACAAAAATAACCATTTAGAAAATACCAATAGCAAAAGAACCTTAACACCAGGACAGGAAGTCTGAAAACTCATTTCTTCTTTCCAGCCTTGGCAGCATCGGAAGCCTTGGTCTGCAACAATAAAAAAATGCCAGAGGTTATTCATTTATAAGAGAAAAATGACTAACCAGGTAAACAATTGGCAAGAATACACAATTGTAGTACCTTCTTCACACCACGAATCTTCTTGGCTCGATTCTTTCTCTCCTTCATCTGCTTCCTGGATTTCTCTACCTTGGTATCAAGTCCATTCTGCAGTAAAGAGAAGGAAATTTAGTTTGGTTCGCACAAACAAAGAACCCTTGGCTTAGACAGAAACAACAGAAAGAAATGAAAAAAAAAAAAAAAAAAAAAGGTTCCAATTATCTCAAAGATCATAAAGAACAAAGACATACCAGACCAGACATAATATAAGGACAGTAAGAGTTGGTTACTAATATCATAAACAATACTTTATGCAAGTATAAAGGCGGGCTATTAATTACATACAATGTTAAAAGGAATTATATCCAAAAACACACTGAGCAGATCAGTGCATTCGTCGAGATGGACAGCAGTCACCATCCCGACCTATGCAGCACTTCATGATTGCTTCAGAAACTATTCAATTTTTTGGTACAGTTTACAAGAAAATGTAATCGATATTTTGTCCACCGGCAAATTCAAAGATCAAATTACCCCCTCCTCTAAATAAAGGAACTCAAAAGGAAAAAGAATGCTACACTAGTTGTATAAAATCCAAACAATCAAAAAGAAATTTAACCAAGGGGAAAAATTATAATCATAATCAACAAAAAAATATCTAGTTAACTCACCCTAATCAGCCTGTACTTGGGCTCATACTTCTTTGCATTGTCAACTGAATCATAAATCAACCCAAACCCAGTGGACTTTCCTCCTCCAAAATGAGTTCGAAACTTGAAGACAAATACAGTATTCTGATCCTTAACCTCGTACATTCTTGCCAATTTCTCCTTCAGTTCAGCCTTCAAGCCAAACACAACAAATCAAAAACACGAAGTAACATAATTTTTCAGCCAATAACAGATTTAAAACACAATTTTCAGATGCTAAAGATATTAGCAACTTCACAATTAACAACATTTATTGATCTTATAAGTGCACACGCACGCGCACATATAAAACAATGACAGAGAGTACCTTGGAAACATTGGCCCTCCCTGGATGAAGGACATCTACGATCTGCATCACACAGCTAAAAGGTTAGCTGATTAAACCCTAGGAACCTCTGCCATGTTCCGTATAACCCATGGACAATAAAGGCAGTTGACAGTGACTCAAACATCTACCGATATGCGATTATGTCTGATTTTACATCATTTTTATAAGAACAACAAATAGAACTGCCGTTGTTTATTAATTCGATTCCCAATTAACAGCGGCAAATACAAGAACCTCGGTAAGTTAACGGAAAGAACACAGGGAAACAACTACGCAGGTCTCAATTCTCAAATGAATGATATTATCTTCAGAATAAGGAGAAAAGGGGAACTTCTATAAAAAAAAATAAAAAATGCACGATATGATGCGAATATCCGAACCGAACATAGAAAAACTTACGAATTGTTTTCGAGAAAGAAGCCTGTTTGTCATAAACTTTCTGGTTCGGATGGTGACTGCCTTGTCCGCCATGTTGTTCAGTGCCGGCAATGGAGCAATAGACAACGGCACTGCACCTCAGTACTACACCACAGTGGAGGAGATGGCTTCAACAATTTAACCCTACTTCTTATAAACCCTAATTCCATTCCATGAACCCTTTCCGCTGGGCCGGCCCGATGTAAGCCCATCTTTCCGTTAATCTTATACATTTTTGTAAGATTAATTTTTCGTATATTACTAATTTTTTTTCTATTGAAAAGTAAAAGTGTGACCTAATAATATATTATCAAATTCTTTATCTAGAAATTATATGTGACATTTTTTTTTAATTTACTATGTCATATATTCTTTATAACTTATTTTTTAATTAAAATATTGATATTTTTTATTAAATATATTTTTCATGTATAAAAATTAAATTACTGTGGTTCGATTTCAGCAACTTCAGAAATGATATTCTTTCCTTATCCCATGAACTTTAACGAACCAGACCATATAAAAAAAAAAAATGAAGGGTGTCTTTTTTCTTCTGCTTTTGAAACAATTAGTCACGTTGTGTTGATTAACCAAATGCAGTCTTTTGACATTAATAGATTTTGTAGGCTCGTTTATATATATATACATATATATATATATATAATTTTTTTATTTGACTAACTTTGGTTGCATTTCTTTTGGTGTTAGTAAATTTTGTAGGCTCATTTTTTGTATATAATTTTTTATTTAAAAATACAAAAAGTATGAATTTTTTTGGAAAATTACATGAATATAGGTTTTTTATAAGTTGCCACGTTTTTATATGTCAAATTTTGAAATTAAAAGCAAAACACACAAAAAGTGAAATTTAAAAACAAATAAAGTTTGGGTGTAAAAAATTATTATTTGTTAAGTTTTTTAAAAAAAATTATACTAACTAAATTGAGTATTAGCAATTTTTATGGTTAAAAAATTTTAAAAAAAGTATAAAATCTTGTCATTAGCAACTTTTAAATTATATAAAATAATTAAAAAAAAGTCGTGGTTAGCGATTTTTAATATATATGCCTATAAATAATGAGTTATCCATTTTTGTAAACTGCAAGTAAGAGTAAAACGAAATATGTTTAGACATAGGGGGAGTTGATTTATTTATTAAGAGAAACATGGGTGTGTTGTTGTTGATATGCTTTATTATTGAGATTGTTATAAACACTCATAATTATTTAGGTGCGAAAAGTGTATATAATAATTATAATTACTAGTTATATTAAATAACATGTTTAAATATTTTTTATTTATATTAAAATTTTTCAATTAATACCAAACAAAATATTTTCCCAATTTCATACAAATAATTATAAATATCACATAAAAATAATTACAAATATATACAGTTATGTTATTTTTTTAAAAGTTATCAAATTTAAAAACCATGTCAATAAATGTAAAAAAAAAACTAATTACAACAAATTTAAAAATTTAATTAAATAATAAAATAATAATAATAATAATAATAATAATAATAATTTTTCCTTACGATGTAGATTAATGTTAATTTTTTACAAATTACTCAAAAAGATGGATAAATGTAGCTTTTTAGACAAATAAAAATTATAAATTAAAAAAATACTTACATTTAAATTACAAATATTTTATCAAGAATTGAATTTCAAACCATTTTTTAATCTAATTTTCTATTCTATTCTAATTTAAAATTTTTAATTTTTTCACTCAGATATTTTTTTAAAATTTTTCTAAATTTTTTTCACTTTCTTCTATCTCATAACATTCATTTTTCTTTCTTCTACTTTCATGTTGCATCTAAAGGTCCAATTTATATCATGAAAGGTTGCTAATGGCAACTATTACTATAGTGTCTTACCGTGATTAACAGTAAAAATGACATGACATCAATTCTTAACCTAACAATTATCAATAGCAATTTTTTAGAATAATCAAAGATTTTTGTAAGACATAGTGAAGATTTACTCGTCTACTTGTTCAAAAGTTGTAAATGACAATTTTTGAGCACCTATTAATAGATTTTATAGAGTCAAAAGTCGCTAACTTTTCATTTATCAAGTTGTCTAATTTCAATAATAATAATAATAATATTACTACTCTTGTATAAGAATTTTAAAAAATTTGACTATCTATTTTGCAGTCTTTATGGAATTATACTCGTAACTCTTTTTTCTTTGATAGAAACTCATGTTTTGATTTTGTTAAAATTTATTTTCTTTCATTATTATAAAGTGTATTTTTTACTTTTACAAATCAACAGTAAAATACAAATTTTCATTTATTTTCACATACAACATACACATAAAATAGATAATTTCATATGATTTTATATGAATATTTTATTTTTAAATTGTTATGACCAAATCAAAAGAAACAAATTAAACTTAAGTTTAACTCATAAATAAATTTAAATTTTTAGATAAATAATATCTCTATTTTTTATTTAATATATTTTTATAGTTAAATTTGTATTAATAGCTTACTAATCCAAAATAATATCTTATAAACACACTTATTTCCAACAAGTTGATTAATATGCATCTAGAGTTAATCCCAACGTCAGCATGCAATCCTATGTTGGAAGATAGATATTGATGTGACACTAGGAGTACTAAAGAAGGAATATCTTTTTATATATAGGTATTTTTTTAAAAAATTCAAAAAATATGAAATTTTTTGTAAAATTAAGAAAATATGATTTTTTTGAAAAATTGTCATTGGTTATTTTTGGCTAAAAAATGTCACTGACAATTTTGATATACTTTTTAAATATTTAATTATTTTTTAAAAGTCACTATTAATAATTTTTAATTTTTTAATATATTTTTTAAAATTGTCATTGCCGACTTTTAAAATTTTATTACTTTTTTATTTTTTTATTTCTAAATATTTGTACTGCACTAAAATTTGTTAATAACGATTTTTGAACTCTATATTTTTATAATTTTAAAAAAATCTCATATTTTTTGTATTTTAAAAAATAAAAACCATATAAAAAATGATTTTTTATAGTAAAATTACAAAAAATAATAATACTCAAATAGACCTAGACTTAAATTTTTTACAGAACCGAATTCTGAGTTAGTTTTTTTTCTATATATAATAAAATAAATATTATTATTTAAATTATATTTATATATTTATATATTTTTATTGTGTTAAAATAAATATTTATAATATGTTATTTTAAAAAATATTTTTAAATATTTTGTTAGTTATATATAATAAAATAAGTTTTTTATTTAAATTATGTTTATATTTTTATATTATTTAAAAATAAATAATAATAATAATATTAATTTTAAATGTTTATTAAAATTTATTTGACATATTTAAGATAATAAATAATATTTTTATTTTTCTTATTATATTATTTAATATAATTTTATTTTTTGAAAATAATATTAATATTATATTCTAAAATTATATTTTTGGTTATTTAATATTATATTTTTAAAAAAATAAAAACTACAATAAGAATTTATTTAATTTTAAATTTGTATAAAATAAAAATTATAATAAAAATTTATTTAATATTATATATTAATAAAATAAATAAAGTATTAAATAATGACCAGTTTATTTTTTTTTGGGATGTTAACATTTATTAAAATTTATACATAATTATTTATTTAAAAAAATATGTTATTAATATTAATAAATATAATAAAATAATATTATGTAGATATGTTATATATATACTTATATATTTAATATAAATTACAAATACTAAAAATTTAAAAGTTGCAATAACATTTATAAAATTAAAAATGACATTAAGAAAATTTTAAAATAATAATAACAACATAAATCAATGGTGGGAACTAGAAGCTTGATCAATCTTTGGACATGTCTTTTTTGTCTGACCAGGGTTATGACAATAAGAACAATTTTTTGCCTGACTTTGTTGTTCTCTAATGTCTATCTCTGTTATTATCTTACTGGACTTCTGTCGACCTTTTGAAGTTCTTTTCAGTTTTGGATTTGGATACAAAGTTAGGCCTGTGTAAGTTGGCCAATAGTCTTCATGTCTGAGTTTTCCAAATTGACCTTCGTATACCTTAAAAACTTGTTGTAAGGTATACATAGGAGATATGTTGATGTCAAAGTTGTGGTGTGTGTATAATCATGAAACAAGTACATGCGAGTATGGGATGTGAACTTTTTAAAACTTGCCACAATCACACCACATTTCATCTAACCGTACTGTAAATCTTTCTAAGGTCGAATTTTTGTTGGATGCTATGTTTCTTCGACTAAAAATCTAGTGCATGTGTCAAAGGTGATGACTCTATGAGTGTTTGCCTTTGACTGTGCATCTTGAATTGCTTTAGTTGCAACCTCCGAGTACATATATCTAGCATTAATCATTGCATCTACTTTCTTGCTTTTGTTAATGAAGAATTTATTGCAATGGGTGTATAACCATGACCATGGAGCAAATTGGTAAGTTTTTGGTTTTCTTCAAGACCAAATTGATTGACTCCGCTAGATTTGTTGTCATGTGTCCCCAGTGTCATTCGTTGTCTCATGCCAGTATCTATTTTTTTCTTGGGATGTTGTCCAACCATTTTGTAGCTTTAGGATTATTATCTTTTACTATATTGTAATAGTAAAAGAATCTCGGTTCAGTCATCCCATATGCTGGAAACAAGATTTCAAATTAAATTAATATAACTAGATAAGCAATTGTATAAAATATTAATGATAATATAGAGTATGTAAAAAAATTAAAATTACCCATATTGACAACATCTTTATTCAATGCAACATTTTTGAATTGTCACATGAAGTTTTGTGCAATGTGTCTAATGCAATAGACATGGACAAAATTATTTTCTGTCCAACCACTTCATTTGTAGAGTATGCACTTCTTATGGCTGGGTTACGTTTGTAGCAAATGTAACATATAATTCTATACCTGATTGAAGTTGATTTAAATCGTGGATGTTGAAGAGTGCCTCGACGTTTTTATCATCGTTCAACTCAACACATGTGTAGTTGCTAACTCTCGGGCCAAGTCTAATTGGGTAGCAAAAATGTATGGATATCACCCTTTCATTTGAGTCTCGGTTAAGTTTTGTGTAGATGACTTTCTTGAGCCTT